TGTGGCCCATTTCCATTGCACGTGCCGCCTGTCCCAGTCGTGTTCAAAGTATTTCTACACTTAAATTATCCGTCCTTACAATCAAAACTCTAACGTTAAGTTCACTAAAATGCCAAGTAAGAATTAACACAATCAGATCACAATCGTCAAATATACAATTAGTATACTAAGGGTTCAAAACTGTGCTGACATGTCCATATACGTGGGCTCAAGCAGGGTTTAAGACCCAATATGTTACATGAGCACACCTTCATGCATTGAGGTACACATTATGCATGCTCTAGTAATTGATTATAGCTTTCCGTGTTTGTGCTATTGATTATTCTTTAGTTCTAGAGAGAGAAAGTCACTGACTTTAACATTGGAGCGTCCATCCTGGAAAGGCCGGACGGGGTACTGACAGTTCTATGTCCTGCAGATTCTCGATAGATTTATTTAGAAGATCATCTTTGTTCCCAAATTTTTACGAGGGAGAAGATCTTATTAATCGTATGTTGTCATGTCAGATTTTTGCACACACTAGTTAAGGTAGGAAACCTTCAAAACCTTCTCATTTTCCTCTTCAATTTCAGTATATTTACGTGTTAGTGGTGTTAAAATCATGATTTAGTACTTGTTTGTAATGTTTGAAGCCTTGCTCTTGATTTAGTTATGATTTTCTTAAAATTGTCCAGATTCTTGTATAAATTTTTAGGTATCCTACACCTCAAAATTTTGAGATGTTTTCTTCTAAGAAATTGTTAAGAATATTTCTAGAACACCCACGAATTTTTGCATAATTTTTGAAAGTATGTACAAATTTATATGCAATTTTCTTTAAACCTAGGTTTTGGAACAGATTTTGCCATCTCTTTGAGAAATCACCAAATATTCTATAGGGTATGGCTTCTGTCCAGTCCGGGATCGGACTGGACCGTGCTGTTGGGCCCATGGAGGCCCACCACGAGTCCCGTTTTGATAATCTGAACCGTTCAATGTGTTGAAATCGTCGAGTACTATATGCCTGTAAAAAATCACGTTAATTGGATATCGATAGCTATGTGATCAAAACAGTTTTTTGTCAACCGTTAATTTGTTCACCGTCCAATTTTTTAATACGAAACTGATTTGATCATATAACTATCGATATCCGATCAACGTGGTTTTTTATAAGCATATAGTACTCGACGAGTTCTACACATTGAACGGTTCAGATTATCAAAACAGGACCTGTGGTGGGCCCCCACGGGCCCAACAGCACGATCTAGTCTGATCCCGGACTGGACAGAAGCCATACCCTATTCTATAACCCAATCAAGAGTGTTGTGTTTTTCTAAGTGCAAAGTGAAGCTTGAGAAGTCAAGTTTCACTCCTAATTTTAAAATTATGGTCTTGACTGGTAGATTTTAGTGTGAAATTATTTTGAGAAGTGTGTCAAATTTGTATTCTATATCTTCTTGTAAGAATTTTGTAGAATTTACATTATGGAAATTCTTCTTTTAAAATCACCATAACATGTTTATTTAACACTGGTACAAATGCTTTGAGCTTTATAGTTGTCTAAGTATTTTATTTGTATCGCGAAAAGTGATATCTTGAATATGAAATTTATTGAAATAATAAGACCCAAAGGTGCAAATTTTTCTTACTCATGAAAAATTGGTATGTATGAGAGTTGATTAGATGGCATTGCTACTTAATATTCTATCATATTGGTATTCGAATATATGATGCTATTATTTCAAATTGTATGTTACATAGTGCTTTAATTTAAAAATTGGCAAGTTAACAGTTTATGATAACGAGTACCTTTTTAGCGATAATTGTAGAGCACATGTGTTAATATTTTTATAATAAAATTTAATAAAAGGGCATAGCCAGGGGTTGTAAATTGAGTAAGTGATCATTTGTAATTATCGTGGAATGATGATTAAGAATTGATGAACTTGATTGAAAAGATGAACGAATTATATGAAATTAGCAGTTGACGGTTAATATCGATTATTCAAGATGAGCCCTGGTTTTACATGTAATTAAAGGTTGGAGGTTAATACCAACTATTCATGGTAAGTCTTGGTTTTGAAAATTCTTGCGCAAGCCTTGTCACGAAACTCTAAGATAGCACAGGATCTATTCGAACTTCTATCAGTATTTGATTTTAGCTGAAAATAAGTTTTTGGCGACCAAATTTTTGGTCGCCAAAAAAAATGTGACCTTCCGCGACCAAATTTGTAGTTGGTCGGCAAAAGCATACCATTTTCTGCGACCAACTCATTTTTTGGTCGCTAAAATATAACATTCTGCGACCAATAATATTTGGTCGCCAAAAATAATGATCATTCGCGACTAATTAATATTTGGTCGCCAAATGTCATTTTTTTGCGACCAAAATTTTTTTGGTCGGCAAAAGTGGTCGCCAAATGTGTAAATCCTTGTAGTGAGAGTGTTGTGTTTTTCTAAGTGAAAAGTGAAGCTTGAGAAGTCAAGTTTCACTCCTAATTTTAAGATTATGGTCTTGACTTGTAGATTTTAGTGTGAAATTATTTTGAGAAAGTGTGTCAAATTTGTATTCTATATCTTCTTGTAAGAATTTTGTAGAATTTATATTATGGAAATTCTTCTTTTAAAATCACCATAACATGTTTATTTAACACTGGTACAAATGCTTTGAGCTTTATAGTTGTCTAAGTATTTTATTTGTAATATTCTTTATAGAATCTTGAATATGAAATTTATTGAAATAATAAGACCCAAAGGTGCAAATTTTTCTTACTCATGAAAAATTGGTATGTATGAGAGTTGATTAGATGGCATTGCTACTTAATATTCTATCATATTGGTATTCGAATATATGATGCTATTATTTCAAATTGTATGTTACATAGTGCTTTAATTTAAAAATTGGCAAGTTAACAGTTTATGATAACGAGTACCTTTTTAGCGATAATTGTAGAGCACATGTGTTAATATTTTTATAATAAAATTTAATAAAAGGGCATAGCCAGGGGTTGTAAATTGAGTAAGTGATCATTTGTAATTATCGTGGAATGATGATTAAGAATTGATGAACTTGATTGAAAAGATGAACGAATTATATGAAATTAGCAGTTGACGGTTAATATCGATTATTCAAGATGAGCCCTGGTTTTACATGTAATTAAAGGTTGGAGGTTAATACCAACTATTCATGGTAAGTCTTGGTTTTGAAAATTCTTGCGCAAGCCTTGTCACGAAACTCTAAGATAGCACAGGATCTATTCGAACTTCTATCAGTATTTGATTTTAGAATAATGATGGATGTACGGGTGGTACAACAAGGCTACCCTTAGAAGACTGTTCCTTTAGGGCATACCATTAATGCCACTACTTGAGTGTATGACTCTAAGCGTCGCCATCTTTAATAGTTACTGTGATAACATTTTAAATGTGTTCAGGGGGAGTTTCAAAATTTTTCCATAGCCATTGCTTGGTGGTTAGGTAGGTACGGTAGTCCATGAGGATTTTGTAGTATGTAAATATTAAACTTTTAATGGTATAGTTCTAAACTTTTTATCTTATTTACTTTAAAACTTTCTTAATATCCCATGATGTTTTAAAAATTTGGAGCGTTACAATTAGTCCCTTCATTACTCAAGGAAATGAGCTTGACAATTATACTAAGAAGAAAAGTTCAAGGAAATGAGCTTGACAATTATACTACTTAGAGGAAAAGTGTAAAGCACCTATTTGTCATGTTTCAGATTTACAAGATCCAAAAGATGGAAATATAAGCAATAGATGAAGATAACGAGATAGAAATGTAGTGTAAATAGAAACTTCCATTTGGCTTGTTAAATTATTCAAAATGTTATAAGTTAACAATTTTATTTCAATAATGTAAATGTTATTTATTCTATATTTTTCATAAAATATAAAATAAAAATGCCATTTTTTATTCATCATGTGACAGTTACAGATAAATAATCTCGACAAATTCTGACAATCGCCAAATTTGCAAAGTTTAGCAAGGCTACAATTTGGTAGCATAGGTATCAAATGGTTAGATACCATTTTTTTTTCGACAAACTATATTATTTTGGCAATGATAGCCATTCACAAATTTGATTCAGGTTTTCTTAGTTTGAAAAAATTGAGTAATTTTAATCTTATTTGAACTTTTTAAATTTGATTAATTTTTCATTTTTTCTTATAAAATTTCTTTAAACTTAAACCAAACGAGACAAATGGGCAAAGTTTAAACTAGGCTTCCACTTTTATTTATGTTGTGTAAAAAATAAAGTAATGCATATAACACAATTAAGGATCGTTTGGTGATATATTAAAATAGTTAAAAAGTTATTAAAAAATAAAAAAAGTCAAGATATTGTACAAAAAAAATCAAAGACTATTTATCATTCTTTCTAATTTTTACACATTTTTCTTAAAAAATTAAAGTCATTTTTATACTCTTCAATTTGTTTCATCTTATATTTTTATAAAAAAATTACTTTCCAAACGAACTTTAGAGTTAATTATAAATAATTATACGATTAATTTTTTGTTTATTTATTTACAACAATATTACAAACTTATCTTTATCAATCTAAAATTTACTCAGAAAAAGAAATGAATGGTTCAAATTCATTTTATTCATGGACCTACACTTCATCAATTTAATTTTCATCACACAAATACATTCGAGATAAGTTATGGATTTATAAGGGTGGGTTCCTAACAATTTTTTATTTAATTTAAGAGATGTTTGAGATGTTCTAAATAAGTGTATTTTTTGACTTTTTATAAAAAAAATGTGCAAAAAAATAAAAAAAATTGATAAAAAATAGGAAAAAAATATTAATAGATGTTGATTAATATAATTTAAATAAGTATATATATATATATGAAAAAAAAATATTTTTTTAATACATGTCAAACAAGCCCTTATTATTTGGTACAAGTTTATGGACAAAAAGTAGTCAAACTCCGGCTCTCCACAATTCAAGTACCTGCAACGGTTCAAGATGAGGTTAGTCCAGTCCACGATCAGAGTATAGTATCTCAGTGGCCAAACAGATCCTCCTGCCTCGAATATATCTACCGCCAAATTTGTTTGATTTAAAAAAAAAAAGCAGCTTCTCTCTCTCTCTCTCTCTCTCTCCGTCTGAAGAAACGGGCGTCCATGGAAGAAGACGACGACGAACTCCCTTCACCGTCCGATCCCAGCGATTCATCTGACGAAGATAACCGATATGAATCTGAATCTGAATCTGAATCTTATGATGATGAGGATAATGGTAATGGTAATGGTAATGAAGATGATGAACCATCGACTGTCCGTCGAGCTCTGCCGAAGGACGATCGAAAGTCTCAAAATGTCGATGCTCTTGTGAGGTGCGTTTTGATTTCAATTTTTGCTCCATTTTTGTTTTTATGACCTTGTTCTGTACTATGGAAGCTTCTAGGTCTCAATTTAGGGTTTCACATTTCTGTAATTTGGAAACGTGGCAATGTTGGTGTTAGGGTTTCATCAGTACATACAGTTGCATGGATATATGCATATTTAATTACTTTATCAAGCAAGGTTTAGTTCAATGATTTCTATTTGTGTAACCTAATTTCACACTTCTGCAGTTTCGATGTTATGGGATTTGATAATGCAAGTACGGGTTTCAATTACTACTTAGATGAGCCAAGATAGATTGTTGTGACCTCGCTCCGTGCTACGGAAGCTTCTTGGTGTCAATATAGGGTTTGTCATTTTTGGAATTTGGTTATGTGGAAATGCCGGTATAGGGTTTCATCAGTACAATTACATAGATATTTGCATATTTAATTAGTTTATCAGGCTAGATTTAGTTCAATCTTTTCAATATATAATTTGATAATGTGGATACAGGTTTCAATTACTAGTAAATAAGCCTAGATAGATTTCCTCTTCTCTCGCTCCATATATATATATACTAGCGGTTGACAAACGCAATACGTGTGCAATTCAAATAAATAAAAATAAAACAAAATATTTACTATTTATTGTGTGCCATTCAAGTTGTAAGTGTATTCTTCATTCAACACAAGGTTGAAAGTTTGAGTCGTAATGCTCCCATGAATCTAATTTTATTGGTTTAAAAAGAAAAGTGGACACTTGGTGGCAGCATAAGAAGCCAAGGCTTCAGACCATCAGGGTTGTTCACTTTATATATAGTATACATATATGATGGGTGTGCTATGAAAATCAAGCAGTTAGAATGTAGATAGAGGGAAAAAAAAATCGGAGAAGTTATCAGAATTTGAATTTGAAATCAAAATCTAAGGTAGTTGTGTAGGGGTAATTTGGAAATGGAAAAAAGTGTGATAAAGTTCAAACAAAACTGGGTTGTATACTTTATATAATAGAATATATAATATATATATATATTCAGATTTAGTGGGTGTTTGGAAAGATAGTTGGGTTTTTTTGTGGTTGGATGTGATGTTTGTGAGAGAAAAAGTGAAATGATTATGGGGGTTTGATGTGATATTTTGTTTGGATTTGTTTTTTTTTGTTTTGCAAAAAATTTGTCTTTTAGTGAAAAAAATCAAAAAAAACCCAAAAAAAATTGTTGCCAAACATCGCCTTGTACATGTATGGCTGAGAATGCATAAAATCCCACCCTTCCTGATTGGAATTTGTATGAGTTTAGGTGAATTTATTATTATCCTCTTTTTTGATGCTATCTGGATTAATTGAGGTGAATTCATCATTTTGATTTATTTTTATTTTATCAGAGGCAACCTTATTGTGAAAAGACAGTCGCTGCTTCCAAGGGTACTTTCAGTGACGGACAGAGCAGCTGTTGTTAGAAAACCCTTTAAGCCTCCCTGTCATAATGGATACAGTGATCAAAATGAACAGCTCATTCGTCGTCTTTGGGCTCGTAAGCGGTTCATTCCCTGGGGATCTACGAGGCCTGCGTTGGTTGCAATTACCAATAGGTTGAATGTTCCTTCTGCTGCTGAGAAAGAAGTGTTGGAGGAGATTGTGAATCTTCCACCAGGGGTTGAACCATTGGTCCTGTGGCAACCAGAAGAATGTGAAGAAGGAGCTGGTGATTTGGTGCTGATATCAGTGGATCCTTTGCTTGTCCGTTTCCTTCGGCCCCATCAGAGGTATTTTTTGTAACTAAAAGTTTTTGAGTTGGTTTTGATATAAGTGGTTCAAGTTTACCATATGAAGACTAGTAGAAGCATGTTTGTTCATGGTTACAAATCTAGATAATTGTTTCATCATTAATTTATGATCTTCTGATATAATGGCATTCTGAAGGTTAGATTCATTATATGAATACCATCAAATGAAAATATTCTATGCAACAATTTATTTTTTTTTGAAGAATCAATGTCTTGTCTTATATTTGCATATGCTCATGTTTTGTTGTCATTATTGAAAGGCCATTTCCTAACTTTTATGCAGAGAGGGGGTTCAATTCATGTTTGAATGCGTTTCAGGGTTATATAGTGCTGCCAATATAAATGGATGCATTCTGGCTGATGATATGGGGTAACTATCTCACCTTTCGTGGCTATCCGGGTTGATAAAGTGTCTGCAATTTTTGTATTGTGCTTAATTTGGCCATGTTTTCAAGGTTATTGTTTTTGTGTTCATTTTTGCAGTTTGGGAAAGACTTTGCAGTCAATCACACTATTGTATACTCTTCTTCGTCAGGGATTTGAGGGGAAACCAATGGTTAAAAAGGCTATAATTGTAACTCCTACCAGTCTTGTAAGTAATTGGGAAGCTGAAATTAATAAGTGGGTTGGAGAAAGAGTTCATCTTGTTGCTTTGTGTGAAAGCACTCGAGATGATGTTGTCTCCGGAATTGACAGTTTCACAAGTCCTCGCAGCCGTTTACAGGTAAATCAATCTTCATAGCCATCTGGGTTGTTTCTGGAGTCATAAAGTGATTCATTTGATACTCTCCCAGGTATTGATTGTTTCATATGAAACATTTCGGATGCATTCATCAAAATTCAACCATGATGGATCTTGTGATCTTCTCATATGTGATGAAGCTCACCGACTGAAAAATGATCAGACATTGACAAATAGAGTAAGTTGTATAGTTTATTTTTATCCAAATTTATTCGAATTTGTTGAATCCTGTTGTGTTGGATGCTGAGACTGTTTTGATGAAATAATTTGGCCTCAGGCATTAGCTTCTCTCTCATGCAAGCGTCGCATTCTATTGTCAGGAACTCCAATGCAGGTGAGAGCCACTAATTCTTAATTTTTGTTTTGTTTCATGATATCAAAATTTCATTCTTGTAATGCCTCTTACTCTATTTCCATCATAACATCCAGAATGACCTAGAAGAGTTCTATGCGATGGTTAACTTTACTAATCCAGGAATATTGGGTGATGCTGCATATTTTCGACGGTACTTTGAGGTGAGCTAACTGCTTTACAATTTGACAAAATTATGGTTGTGGCCATGGCTATAAACCTTAAATTTGAAAGTTGAGCATTATGGATGGTTTTGGCAATATGAGATATCTCAGTACAAGTATAGTATAAAACAATCAAGTGCTAGAAAACATTGATTGCTTTGCCGGAAACTATTTTTTTATTGAACTTATGCAAATTGAGATGTATCTATAGTTAGCAATAACTGAGAAGTTATTTTTTTCATTTTCTTTCTATCTGACATGCATTTGTTCTAATTTTGAACTTTAATTTAACATATGGTTAATGAAGACACCAATCATCTGTGGAAGAGAACCATCTGCCACTGAAGAAGAGAAGCGGCTATGTGCTGAGCGCTCAGCAGAACTAAGTGCAAAAGTAAACCAGGTAATCCTTTCTTCTTGAAAGTCGTGGAATTCTGGAGGCTGACTTTATCCACTGTGTTTCAAGAAAGCAAAATTTGTCTTTATGCAAGTAACCAAAATATTAATAAAAAATTATTATGAAAAAGATGAGATTCTCTTTAATTGATGTGTGGCTTATGTATTTATGCAATAAACAATAATTAACTTTGATTTCTAATAATCGATTCATATGCTTGTTTTCAGTTTATATTGAGAAGGACCAACGCGTTGTTATCAAATCACTTACCACCAAAGGTATGCCATTTATATCAATCAACATGCATTTTGAAAATTTTGAATCCTGCATAATGTGTTCAACAATTTAGCAGTTCATTTTTCAAGTTTCACAGTAATCTAATTGTCAATCATGTAAAATTTTACATTGCCATGTTGGATACACTAACATAATTGTCTCTCATATAAAACATTACATATGCCATCTGAGATATAATTTTTCAGATAAATTGGCATTTTTTGTTGCTGGTGTTGTTCTTATAGTTGTTATGTCCGTCAAATAATTGCTCTAGCCAGGTTTGCGCGATGGGTGATGCTTATGCAGGACAACCTCTCTTTCACTACAAGTATAAACTGTTTCTGAGCTGAGACCAGCTAACCAAGAATTGTCTCGAGTGAATGAAATGCATTAAACTGAAATTTCTACAGCATGCATGCTATTCTAAATGCAAACATAAAACAGTGGCTAGCCATTGTTTATCTTAACTGGATTGGCCTTTTCTGTTCAATCCAATGTATTGCTTTGGACAGCATATATCAATGCATCAGTCAATTTAAAATTTTCATAGTTGTGTTGTTTCTTTCTACATATCAGCATCACCTTTGTCCTTTTTGTACTAATCTACTACTAATTAAGTAACCAAATTTAACCTCATAATTGTAATTGTGCTTGCAGATAATTGAAGTTGTTTGTTGCAAGTTGACTCCTCTCCAATCAGAATTATATAATCATTTCGTACATTCAAAAAATGTAAAATTTCATTTTTAGCAATGTTTTTCTGTGCATAAATTTCTGAAATTTCTCAATAGGAATTGTTAGACATACTTCTGCTTTTTGCTTGCCCTAAAATACAGGTTAAACGAGCAATTACAGAAGAAATGAAGCAATCAAAGATCTTGGCTTACATTACAGCTCTTAAGAAGCTTTGCAATCATCCAAAGGTATAATATTATTGAAAAAAAAAATCTGAATTTGTTTTTCTTTTTGCTCTGCTTTACCCTATGGATCAGTAATGAAGATTACAAGTCATTGTGATCTAAAAGAATACATGCGATTCTAAATTGAAAAAACACAATCAATGTTTGGCAATGGCTTTTTTGGCTAAAATAGCCAATAAAAACAAAAATAGGCTAAAATAGCCAATAGACAAAATGTCACATCCAAACGATAATCATTTCACTTTTTTTTCTCACAACCATCAAATCAACTACAAAAAAAAGCCAACCAACTTCCCAAACACAACTTTTTTAGTCAGACTAAAATAGCTAAAAAGCCAATTAAAATAACCAACTTCCCAAATGAGCTCTATTATGCACTATTAAAGATGTTGAAACTTTTTTAGATCTCTATGATATAACATATACTTTTTCTTTTAAGCAAACTTAAGAACCACTATCTACCATCAACACCACTATCTTATTATATACATTAACACAAATTTCCAGCAAAAGCATTGTTACTTTTTGTTTTGTATTTGCAATTTCTCAATCATTGGAATCAGGGGTGGAAGCAAGTGTCGGCCAAGGTAGGCCATGGCTCCAACAACACAAACTCAAACTTGCGAACACACACACACACACACACACATTTTTGTATGTCAACAGGATGCCCGGTCCCACAACAATCCAGCAACCCCATCAGTCCACAGAGAAGACGCTGGTTCTACACGATAACAAGTTATCTGCTTGTTAAAGTTGTTACCAGAAAAATGATGAAGGCATGTTTGATCAAATTTCCTGCTTAGGTGGCTTCTCTTTAGTGAATATTTCAGTGTTTTAGCTAACAGATTTTGGAGCTTCAATAAATTCCCCCATTCTCTTAACTAGATTTTAGGAATTGCTCTTCTCTGCTATTGTTTTTTTTTTTTTTAAACGGAATGAAGTGTAAGTCAACCAGAGATTATTTTATATTTTTTTTGGGATAAAACTTTTTAACAAGATCAAAGACAGTAGCAGATACAAAACTCATGTCGTGTTATATTTTCACTTAAAAACAATGGGGAAAACTTGTAAAACTATTAATAAAGTCAAAAAAATAACAACAATAACAGGCAAAACAATTAGTGCTAGTCTAATACTGATGGTCAAATGCTTCTTGGTTGGCAACATCTATTCCATTGCAACATCATTCTTAAAAAAATCTACGGCAAATTTCACTTTACCCCGTTGTGGGTTGGCCCATGTGTGGATTATCCCCTCTCGTTTGGAAATAACCACATAACCGCTTGTGATTTGTGGGCTGAAGTGCACTGTTAGACTTTCTGTCCAACTTAACAGTAAGTGTGAAACACATGCAAAACATGAGGGGGTTAGACCATCTCTAACGTAGAATAAAAAGTTTCATCAAATTTGAGTAAGAATTTGATGAAAAATTTGATTCGATACCTGTTCACTCCAATGTTAAAACTTGAATTTTCATCAGATTTTTTTACGTCTCCGGTTGTCCCGGCGGACGTCCGGGCGGATGTCTTGGAGGTCGTCCGAACATGAACAAAAAGGCTGTCAAAGCTTTTGGGTGGACATCCAGGAGGATGTTCAGCCCAACGGTAACAATTTCTCTCAATTTGATATGAATTTGGTGAAAGGATTGAAGCGTCAAAATGAGGCGCTTTTCATCAAATTCAAATTTGATGAAGCATCTGATGCTGGATTGGAGATACTATTATATGCTCCTTTTCAAATTTTATGGCAGTAAATTGCACATGGAATAAAGCACAGGGGGTTAAAGTGTATTTTGTCTCCCAAACAAATGGTGAAAATATCCGCAATTCGTTCACTTAGGGTGCTTACTATGAAGCACGGACACCTCTCTGAGGGCTGCGTATCATTATCGGACACGTGTCGGACACAGACACGCGGTGGACACGTGTCCAGCACATTGTAGAAGGTGTCCGTTTTTTTTTTATTTGATTTTTTGCAGCTGGACATGTAATGGACATGTTCGGGACACCGCGGGGTAAAAATCATAATTTATGAAACTTCAAGTGAGGGTTATTTGTAAAAAACAAAAATTAAAGCAATTAGATCAAGTTCTAACTTAGACATCAAATAGAGAGAAGAGAAGAGACTGAGAGAATGGCTCGTCGGGCACACTTGGTCACTTATCGTTGGTCAGTCGTCGCTCGTCGCTTGTTGGTCATCGCTGCTTGCTACTTGCTAATCTTGCTATTATCCAAGGTATAACTTCAATCTTTTTCTTCTTCGATCTTCTCTCTTAATCGCTCTCTCTCTTCTTTTCTGCTATTCTACTTCTCTTTTCCTTTTTTCTTTTCTTTCTTTTTTTTTCTTTTATATGTTGATTGTAACACCTCTCTCTCTCTCTCTCTCTCTCTCTCTCTCTCTTCTATTTTTTTTCTTCGATTTTATTTTATTTTTTCTTTTCTCTCTCTGCCTCTGTTATTTAAGTGTATATATATATATATATTTTTCTAATTAATTTTGTTAATATTAATGATATGTGAATGATATATATGATGTTAAATCAATGACTTTTTATTTTTTTATTCTTATAATAATTTTTAGTGTTATTTTGTATTTTTTATTACCTTTCAATGATTTTTCAAATAATTTTATGACATATAATAAATAAATTTAATTATATATATTGAACGTGTCCCCAGCATATTGTCCCCCATTTTTTGAAAATTTGCGTGTCCGCTTGTTCGTGTCGTGTCACATGTTCGTGTCTGTGCTTCATAGTAACTATTGAAACTTTAGAGAAGAGAAAGAGATGGAGAATGAGAGAGACTTCATCCCCTTTTATATTGATAATAATGCGTAATTTCAGGAGTGCTATTAGGCATAAATTATGAGCTAACCCATTACATCAATCAAGAGAAAATAAAATCAAACAAGAATAAAATATAACAAATTTTGTTTTCTATTCTTATACTTCCCCTCGAGCTAGTGCAAAGATATCTCTCATGCCCACCTTGTTGAGAAAGTCATGAAATTGTTTATTCCCTATACCTTTGGTGAGAACATCTGCTAGTTGGTCCACAGTCTTCCCAAATGGGGTACATATGGTGCCATTAGTGAGGTTTTCCTTGATAAAGTGCCTATCAATCTCCACATGTTTGGTTCTGTCATGTTGAACTAGATTATGAGCTATGTTGATCGCCGCATTGTTGTCACAGTACAATCTCATGGAATCAGTCTGATGGATCCCCAAGTCTCCCAACAATAATCTAATCCATAGCAACTCACATATACCTTAGCAACCAAATTCTGTTTCTTACTTTGCCATGTGACTAGATTGCCTCCAACAAATGTGCAATATCCAGAAGTTGATTCAGTGATTGATCTAGCCCAATCCGCGTTAGTAAATGCCTCCACATTGAGATGTCCATGTTTGGAGAAATAGAGACCTGTTCTAGGAGAAGACTTCAAGTACCTCAGGATTCTCAAAACTGTCTCTAAGTGGGAATTTCTAGGAGCATGCATAAACTGGCTAACCATGCTCACTGCAATGGCAATGTCTAGATGCGAGTGGGACAAGTATATACCCACTAGCCTTTGGTATCTCTCCTGTCCACTGGATCTCCCCCTTGATCCTCACTTAGTTTCTGGTCCGGTTCTAGAGGTGTATCACATGGTCTACCTCAAAGCATTCTAGTTTCCTTTAGCAAAGTCAAGTACATATTTCCTCTGGCATATGAAGATGCCATCCTTGGACCAAGCTACTTCAATGCCTAAAAAATACTTCAAATTACCCAAGTCTTTGATTTCAAACCCCTTAACTAAGTATTCCTTCAACTGAGGGATCTCCTCAACATCATCCCCTATCAAAACAATATCATCAACATAAACAATAAGAGTTGTGGTGTAACTCCCCAAAAATTTATGCAACGGATATAGCAATAATCGTGGCTCTTAAGAGATACCGGAATAATCCCCAACACTTTTCATTACATGATCACAATGTTTATACAAAATACTTCCACATGCGGTTATACATTCAATGAATTCTAGTACATGAATCTATAGCATGTAGAACATTCAGTCAAAAATAAACAAATGCCCTCAAGGGCTTAAAAGTTCCAAGGTTTAGGTCTGGTTACACAAAAGATGGTTTCTCGAACCCATACATTTATGGCCCTTGGCTTACAAAAATAAAGTCACAACAAAATAGAGCCTTGTGCTCGCAATACATACATCCACGCCCTAATTTGGCGGGTTTACCACGTCTTTTCCTGCACCAAAATCCCATAGGGTGAGTATAAAGCCCAGTAGGAAAATTCTTAACAAAGTATATACATTTTATGCAAGTCTCATAATATGAAATGCATATGCCGTGCTATACTTTTGACAAGAAAATCATATCTTCATCCTTTGAAAACCATCATGCTCAATGATAACTTAAAATCTCAACAATTCAAGTTTTATCAATTTAGTTTTAAGGGGTAGTAAATACAACACGGGTAATCTCTAGGTCGGTGTCTGCAAGTAGGCATAACTAGCACTACCCAATCTCCACCTTACCTGTAGCAAACCGGAAAGCACGTAGTACCTCCTCCGTGTGTGTTTTCGGTCTCACCCCGGACACTCAGGCCAACTTAATCGATTTCATGTACACCTCCTATCCGGACTTACCAACGTATTTATCCCAAAACATTTCAATAAATCTCATTTCACAATATTTCTTTCTCAATGCGAAGTTTCAAATCCCAATTCAATATTTATAACAAGCAAGGTATTGAAGTACCAATGCAACAATTATCCATGCAATACAATAGTTAACCATGCAATGTAATAATTATCCATGCAATGCAACATCCTACCATTTAGGAAACTTCCACACAAATGTTCCATTTGTGATCATAATTTCCAGTTCCCTTTCCAATGCATTTCAACATATATCACATATAAATTTTATATCAATCCAAGCGTAGCAACATTTCCACATCTCATGTGTCATCAACAATTTGTCATTTCATGACTAT